GCGGGCTTTGAGCAGGAGAGTGGACACAGTTCAGGCCACACTTGGAGACGGTCCCTGCATTGAGGAGGAGGAGCTGCTGATAACAGGGACCGGGTGGTGTCCCAGGAGCTGGAGGGAGGAGGGCAGAGCATGGAATGTTTTAAACACGATCAGCGGGACCTGCTGCTCGACCAAGTGTGAAAAGTGAACCAAGGGGGAGGAGCTGGGTCCGTCCCTGGTGTCCTGGCTTGGGGACAGGCGGAGGGCATTTGCTGAGAACGGGGGCGAAGGATGGGCTCGCGGGCAGAGGGAGCGCTGGTGTATCCGGGGTTCCCTTTGGAACGTCTTGAGCTGGAGATGCCTGGGACACTGGAGCGAGCTGTCAGGCAGGCGTCCAGAAACACGAGCCGAGCTCTGGGAAAAGGGCCGCGTTGGCCGTGTGCAGCCCACGTGCAATAACTCAGGGCCCCTCTGTGCAGCCCCCTCCCTCCCCTGCTTGTTTCCTTCTAGGCTTCTCCTCACTACAGCACCTGTGGGCCGCCCAGCCGTGATCCGGAAAGGACTCCCTGTTTCTTTCCTTTCTGTCCTTGACCCTTGACCCCTTGCAGCAAGCTCCCTGCTCTCCCCAACCTTAGAACCAACCTCCCCCGACCCCCGCCAGGGGTGGCCCCAGAGCCCCCAGTGACCCTGTGTGTCTCTGCAGGCGGATGTGCCCTCGGTCCTGGTGTCGGCTGCCTCTGCGGACTGAAGGCCTGCGAGTGTGACAAGCGCTCCGTGCGCTGCTTCAAAGAGAGCCTGCCCACCTACGAGAAAAACTTCAAGCAGTTCTTCTCTGGCCGGCCCCGGTGTGGCAGGCGTAAGCCCCGCTGCTAGGGAGGCCGCAGAGTCTCCCTCGTCATTCTGCACCTGCTCTAGTGTCACACCTCCAGGAAGCCTTCCCAGATCACCCCTGGCAGACTCCAGTTCTTCCCCAGGTCGGGGTGGGGGTGGAGAACAAAAGGTCCCCCCGAGGATAGCTTGCCTTTCAGCATTCTGGCCTCGGGGACTCCTTGTCATTGGGATCTGAGAACGGGAGAGCAGAAGTGCCGGGAAGGAGCTTGCATTCTAGCGGGGAAGGTGGGCTGCAAACATACGTGTGTGTATAAATATATAGAGAAGTGACACATTCAGATAGTAGTAAGTGCTGTAAAGCAATAGAACAGAGGGATAGGGTAGAGAGATACTCACAACCCCCATCGCAGGAAGTTTCCAGGACGGGAGAGGCCCCAGGATCTACCCAAACTCTCCCTCCACCCCCAGCCCAAATCAGGATGTAGGGCCAGACTTGGGGACCGGGCCCACACCCAGCCCTAGCTGGGAACAAAGGCCCCAGAAAACAAGGTCTTGGCACCCATGCCAAGGACCCGAGGGGCAAGCTGAAGTGTGCTTCTCATTTGCTCGAGTTCTGCCCTCAGGTGGGAATGAGTTGATGCCATTTTCACGTCTCAGGAGACAGAGCACTCCAGAACGTTAGCGCCCTGCCACTGCTATCTGAATGTCACAGCCAGGAGGGTGTCAAAGAAGTGGAGAAAGAGGGCGTGGGAGAGGGAATCAGAGGCATCCAAAATTTCCACCCAAATTAACAGCCTCTGGTTCCATCGGACCTAAATTCTGATAAATATTAAAGTGATCTAATCTAGTGGGTCCTGATGTTCACATGCCCAGCTGGCAAGGCAGATCGCAGACATGGCCGCCCTCGTTCTCACCTCCCTGTACCCGCACCTTTCGGGACACGAGGCTCAGCTTTTCCCCCACCCCTGGAACCTGACCTGGCCTTGTGACTGACTTTGGTTGATGGAACGCAGTGGAAGCGGTGGTCTGCCGGTTCCCAGCCGAGGCCTCAGGAGGTCTAGGGCACGTCTACTCTCTCTCAGGACACCTGCCTCCGCCGTGAGAAAAGTCCTGGGCTCCCCTGCTGGAGGATGAGCACCCACCTGCATCAGAGTCAGCCGCTGGGTTGTCTCAGCTGAGACCTCAGACTCGTGAGCGAGCTCAGCGACGATCGCCCACAGCTGACCACAGACACACGTGAGGGAGCCTCACCGAGCCCCAACACCTGCCCGGCTGAGCCCAGGCTGAACTGCCAACACGCAGAACTGCGAGCTAAGTAAAGGCTGCTGTTTTAAGTCCCAAGGTTTGGTGTGGTTTGTTATGCAGCAATAACCGGCTGGCACAATTGGTCCTTCACCGAGCCTCCCGGGATCTCAGCACGGTGCTGCCCTTGGAGGCCACAGAAACGCCGTGGACTTGGGCCCTGCCCTCACCTGATGGGTGGGGGGAGAAGGGCAGGCCCACGCAATCATGGAGAACACACGAGAGCTGCCGTCGCTCACTCAGCCAGCCAGCACACACTGATTGAGCACCTGCTGTGTGCAGGGCAGTAGGATTCAGAGATTTAAAGGAAACAAACAAAATCAGATCTGCAAATCCTTGGGAGAACGCTGAGAGCCGTAGGAGCTTTTAGGACACTTAAAATCTGGACTGAGAAAGAGACAGACAGGGATGCCAGAGGGGATGGTCAGGGCCTGGGCTCTGCCTGGCTGGGCTCATGCTGTCATATGGGTAATTGGCCACTGCTGCTGCCGCTGCTGTCGCTGCCTCCTCCTTCTCCTCCTCCTCTTCCTCCTTCTTCTCCTCTTCCTCCTCCCCCTCCTCCTCCCCCTCCTCCTCCTCTCCTGCCTGCGCATGTGCAGAAACTGCAACTGCAGATGGGAGGCTTGTGGTTTACGAGCATCAGGAGGGGCCGCAGTCTGAGGGAAGTGGTCGTAGAAAGGCAGACATGGAGCCAGGGTGGCCAGGCCCAAGGCGGGGGACACCTCCTCTCCTTGGGGGTCTGACCATGCAGAGACCAGCTCTGGACCCTGAGGGGATCCAGCCAAGCCACACAGCAGAGGAAGAGCCAGAGCCAGGCTCGGCGTGGGGGACTGGGGTTCCCAAGTGAGAGCCAGGCTGTCTTTTCCACTCCCAGGCCCAGCTCCTAGTCTACAAGACAGGGCATGGGCCCCTGAAGGTGGGCGTGCCCTATGGGCGTTGACACCTGATTCTGAGAGGTGGGGGTGCAGAGGGATGCGTGGACTTCCCCGGGAGAGCTGCTGTCCTCGCAGGCCACCCGTTCGTTCCGCCAGCAAACCTGCACTGCGGATGCCCCCAGCCAGGCCCCGCGCATCAGACTCCGGGGAGCTCGCGGGCCGGGACACACAGGCACACAGGTGATTGCCACACAGGCCGGCAAACGCTGGAATTGGGACAGGCTCGGGGCAATGCCCACCATCCGGGAGGGTGAGGGCAGGCCCCCCGAGGCGTGCTGGGGCCCTGGCGTCCGCCTGAGACCTGAAGACGAGGAGGAGTGAGGAGGGCCGGGGGGCTGGGCGTACTCCCAGGCCGAGGGCTTGAAGACAGCGCACGTACACGCAGCTCCTTGTCTGCCTGCCTTCCCGTCTCCGCCGAGGCCCCTTCTCCATCTTTGATCGCTCCACGCCAAAACCTGGGAGCCAGATTCTTCCTCTCCTATCCCACGTACCACATCCAATCTGTTGGCACTACCTTTGAAACACATCCAGATTCTGTGTTGATAAAATACTTCATTCAAATGTTTACATGAAAAAAATGAAATGAGAGGAGAAAAATCAAGAACGTGGCCATTTCTCACTGCCTTCACTGCCACCGTCCTGGCCCCGGGTTGCTGCCGTGCTCTGCATGGCGCTCCCTTGCGTCCATCCCGCCTCCGTCTCTGCTGCACCCAGCGGCTGGTGTGCAGTGACCGGGTCAGACCCCGAGGGCTCCCTCGGAGCCAGCGTCACACAGTGCCCTGCCCTTCAAGTCTGGGCGGGCAGCTCACCTTTGGTGAGGCTTGTGCTGTCACCCCATTTAACCCCTCCCCCGGAGTCTCCCCTCCGCTCTGTGCCCCTCCCCCCAGGTCCCTTCTCCGCGGCTCAGTGCGCCGCCCACTCACCTACATCCTGTGTTTTGTGCCCCGCTAGAGTACAGTCCCCCGTTTCTCACTGACGTGGACGTGGAATGACTTGGGGCCAAGAGAACACGTGGAATGTGGGGGGCTCGGCAAGGAACCCAGCGTGGGGAGCACGGATGAGGGCGATGGGTTTTCAGGGCGAGCAGAAGAGAGGAGGTGGGCAGGGTCGCGTCAGGGAGAGCCTTGACCCTGGGAGCGGCAGGGTCACCGGTGCTCTGAGCCACCCCCCGCTCTCCACCCATGTGACCTCGGGCAGCTCGACCTCCCTGAGCCCAGTGTCCTCGTGAGCGAAGTGGATGGCCAAGACCAAGGCATGTGACACTATACAGAGGACGAGCGTGGCAATAGCGGGGACTCTATCATGCCGGTTCCCGGAGCCACGTGGCGCAGTAGTTGGAGCCAGTGCCCTGCCGCTGACGGGACAGACTTTGAATGTAGACGTATTTTTACAACATCTCTCTTTAAATTTTCATCAGTCACGGTTCTTGACGTCTGCTTGGAGCCATCCGACGTCAGGGTGGTGGAGCGGGGGGCCTGCTTCCTGTCGAGGGTGGGTGTCGGGCCGTTGCCAGAGGCTGGCTGTGCATGTCTGAGCTGAGGCAGGCGAAGTGGCTGTACCCCGTCCCCACTCCGGGGTGTCTGCAGGCTGTGAAAGGCTCGGCAGGTGCTGGGAAGTGTGGCCCGAGGCTGCGTGGGCGTGGCTGCAGGCCCTGTATGGGGACAGCCAGCTGGGTGTGGTGGGTGGGGAGTGGGTGACTGGGTCTCTGGGTCAGTGTGTGCATGGGCTGGTGGCTCGCGGCTTGGGCCAGGCATCGTTGAGGTCATTGGGAGCTGGATCATGTCCAGATGGGAGAACAAAGAGAAGTGGGGGTGGAGGGTGGACCTGAATCAGGGAGAAGGGGAGTCCATACAAGTTCCCCAAGCCTTGGTTGCTGGAGCGAACAGCTTCCAGGTAGGTACTGAGCGCTCACCTCGCACTTGGAACACCTGCACCGTCTCCAGGCAGTGCTGTTGCGATCTCCAGTTTACTCTCTCAAAGCCACACGGCTGGCACAGGCAGAACAGGCATTTGAACCCCCCTAGGATTCCCCTGAGGGGCTTGTCTGGGAAGCCGCCCAGTACCCCAGAGAGGGGAAGGGGAGCCAGGGGCCTAATGCTGCCCTGGAGGGACCCGGGGTTCTGGGCCAGGCTGGTGCCGGGGAGGACAGGAAGGAAGGGTGAGTGTGGGGGGCGTGGAGCTGGCCCCAGGCTGGAGAGAAGGCCCAGGTCCCCCGGGAGGGCCGCAGCAGTGAGGAGGAAGGAACACAAACCTTCTCTTCCTGGGCCTCTGGCTCCTCATCAAAATGAACAGCTGATATTTGTGTACACTGACCCCTCCCGGGGCTCCCTCTCATCCCTTGTGGTGTTGGCCACCCAAGGGATCCTGGGAATTATTTTCCCGTCTCCCTGACGAAGTCGGGCGGCCGGAGGGGACTAGTGACTTGTTTGTCGCAGGTCCCCGGTAGTGGCACTGGAGCTGTAACTCAAGCCCACATCTCCTGGTACCAAATCTTGGGCTTCTCATCCCCTTTCTCGAAATAAGGGCTGGGTGCTCTCTGAGGTGAAGGCTCTGCAGGCGGAGTTCAAATCCTGCTTCTGAGGCATAGCCTGGAGTGTCCATCATTCACTCGGCTGGTCTGGGCCTCCGTTTCCTCAGCTTATAAACATAGCTGTGAAGAGTCCCCCCGCCCACAGGCTGAGACGACACGCACAGAGCTCTCAGCACAGTGCTCAGCACACAGTAAGTGCTCAGTAAGTCCTGCTTGTCTCACTTGGGCCCTGACATCCTGAGATCCCGGACTCACTGCCCAGGAAGAGCACGGATGTTCCAGGGGGTGCCGCTGGCGAGGAAATATGTCTTTTTCAATTTCTTGTTCTGCACACCCCTGCTTCCTGGTGCTGGGAGCCTTGGAAGTTCTCTCCAGAACTTTGCTTGTTGTCACAGCCGGCGCCATCAGCTGCTTGTTAGGAAGCTGCAACTGGGGAAGCCGACAGCCGGCGTTGCTACGGCAGCCTCTGGGGAGGAAAGGCCGCCTCTCTGCATTCATGGCCGAGGTCTGGCCAGGGACGTGGTGGCTCCCAACCTGGCTGTGACCAGGGTCAGCCACGGCACCAGGTGTCTGGCTGTGGTTTGGAGACCGTAAGTGCCTACGGAACCTTCCCTTCTGCCTTCGTCCCCTCCTCCTCCTTCTCCTCTCTCTCCCCCTCAAACCCGCATGCAGGGAGCCAGATTTTCTTGCTAAACCACAGCTCTGCTGCTGCCAGGTTTCCGTTTTGGGGAGCATGTCACAGGCAATCCAGCTCGCTCTGCACCTCCTCCTTCCACCTGCTGCTGTCTGCTCCCCCGACCCCGAGGACCTGTTGCCCGACACGCGAGCCCAGGGCACTGGTCAGCCGCAAGGACGGTTCTGTTCCCCACGCCACGCCCTGTTCCGTGGGTGTTCTTATCCCTGACCTCATTTAATCCTCAACCCCTATGAGGTGTGATTCATTATTAGCCACGTTTTACAGACGGGGAAAATCGAGGCTGAGAGGGGTGAAGGGACTTGACCAAGGCCGCGCAGCTCATGTGGGGCAGAGCCAGGGTGCCAGCCAGCCTGTGCTTTTGGGGCGGCTCTGTGGGAGAGATGGTGTTGGCAGCAACTCTAAGATGGTGGAGGGGACACTGACAACTTCCTTGTGCTCTCCTGGGTGTTGTCAGCCCGGGGCAGGGTCTCTCAACAGAACTGCACTTTGGGTCCAGAAGCGGATAGGAAGGTGTGGAGCGAAGCCCCGGCAGTGACCCGCAGTGTCCACTAGGTGGCGCCCATGTCCTAGAAAAGAGTTGCTGGCTGCTCCGCAGAGGGTCCTGAGGGCAGGGGAGGGTCATGAGGGCAGGGGAGCGCCTGGAGGGGCCGGAGTCTCCAGGGAATGGAGTCGGGGGACCCAGGTCTGGGCAGAGATGGCAGCCCCTCCTCTAGCCGTAGCACAGAACACCCCACTTTCGTGGAAGGAGCTGTCAGGGGTGCTGAGGGACGGTGAGACTCCCAGACCGTGGAAGCAGGGAGCCCCCTCCTCAAAGTGTGTGACTCCCTGCTCCTCCTTGCCACGGCCAGGGAGACCCCAGATGCGCCATCCCAGCTCCACCCAGTTCCCCTCGGGACACCTTCGGGACTGCCACACAGACTTGGGGCTTCATCCTCTGTGTCCCCAGGCCCACGACCCTTCGGGCCAGAGATGTAGTCCCATTTACAGCTGGGACAACTGAGCCTCACTAGATGCCTCGGCAGCTTCCTCCTGGAAGGAGAACCAGGATCGGTTGGCATCCAGGACCTCGGTCACTTGTCCCACTACCCAGCTGCCTGAATCATTAAGGAGGTGAGAGGAGGGGTGGTTAAACGTCAGACACTGAGGGCTCAGAGCCCAGCCTGAGTGACTGGGCATCGCTCATGACCTGTGTGACTTTGGGCAAGTTGCTTGCCCTCTCTGGGCCTCGGTTGTTCAACAGAAAAGAGTGGGGATGTCAGTCGGCGTCATGGCACCAAAGATGTCAGGGTGGGAGTCTGCCCTTGGGACTTGGTGTGCTCTTGGCTGAATGACCAGACACGCCAAGGTGTCAAGTCCAGACTATTATCCCGGTCCTCTGACTCCTTTCTTGGAAAAACCACCAGCGAAGCCAATACAACGGAGTAACCTCAGGTGGTTTCACAGCAGTTTTATTGTAGAATAAAACAGGTCTGTCTCCGCGAGTGGAGAGAGACAGACCCACTCACTCACTCCTGACTTCTCGATTGTCTCCTTTTATCAGCCCAGTCTGGGGGAGAGCTCTTGGGAGGTGTGGGATGTTATCAAATGATTAACAGGTGTCCTCAAAATTCCATCTGTGTATACACACGAGCTCCCTCTAAGAAAGCGCACCGGGTGGGGGGGTGAACCCCAATGCAGATTCAAGCTAGTGGCATATTAATTACCCTTAGGTTACTCTAGGTCACTTTCTAAATCTTAGTCTGTATGCCTGGGCTGGGGAATTCCTAGCTGGACAAAGCACTCCCTCCTTCCCCAGGTGCAGCAGTTGCTCGGATAGGATTAAGGGCGGGGCAGCGCTGAAATGGAGCCCCCACCCCCATCCTTCTTCCCAGGTGGAGCAATTGCTCCAACAGCACCAAAACAGGGAACCCTTGCCCCGGAAGAGCCAGCGATCCTGTCTGCCTAACAGGGATAGCGCGGCGGAGACCGCCTGAGGAGGACTTAGCCCTGTCGTTGTTATCATCGTCCCACGTTGGATGGACCACGGGGACCAACATGGCCTGGGCACCACTGTCCCACCCCGAGGCTGGGGGCAGGAAGGGGTCAGGCCATGCCAGCTACTGGGTGCCAGGAACCCCCCTTCCCCAGAGCTGCAGACGCAGGAGTGAGTCACTGTGCCCTCCCCGATACCTGACCAAGGAGGACCCCGCAGGGGTGTCGAGGCAGGAGGCGTTTACTAACTTGAGGGGGATACCGAGTGCTGTGAGGTTCTCTGGGGGCTGCAGTGCCCGAGAAAGTCTGGGGTGAGGTGGGGGCGGGTGAGACCCCTTAACAGCACAATCTCGTCCACAGACACGGCCCAGACTTTCAGCAGGGGAGGGTGTGTGTGGCGAGGGGCACGGCCGGAGACCCGGGCTCCCACAGGTCAGGGGTCGCAGCCCCTGCAAGAGACGCCAGGTGCCCATCCCAGCTCCACCCCTGCCTGTGTGACAGCTTCAGCTCAGAGACGTGGCCATCGAGGAGGTGGGGAGGGCAGCGTGTCACCTGGGCCCCTGAGGGGGTTGAGGAGGAAGATCTCAGTGACTGGCACACAGGTGACCGCCAAGGCCAGCAGGAGGTGGGCAGGGGAGGGGCCCCCCACACACGGGGACAGCAGCCCCAGGCGACAACCTCCTCTCAGTGCTAAACGAAGGCCGACATTGTAGGTGCTGGTGCAGCTTCCGGCCCATCCCGCCATCTTTGCCCCCATCCCGCCGCCGGCATCTCCGCCCCTCCTGGAGCTGCCCCCAGTGTCTGTGGGGGCACTGCGAGGGCACGGCCAGTGTCCTCGTGGCTCTTCCTGGTGTCCACGTGGGCAGTGGCATCAGTGGGTCCTCGGGACCGATGTGGGCTGAAGGCGGAGGTCAGGCAGGAGGCAGGCTGGCTGCGTGCAGGCCGCTGGCCCTGAGGTCGCCGAGGTCGTGGGCGAGGCAAGGAGGGGGCAGGGAGGGCGCACCTGGAGAAACGACAGTGCTGGGGGCGTCGAGAAGCCGCTGCTGGAGCCCAACCTCTCCACCTCTGCCCCCGGTTCCTAACCCTGCCAGGAGAGAGCCAGCAAGGCCCTGCACCCACCCCGAGCCTGTGCCCTTCTGACAGCTGTGCCCACCTCGTCCACTTGGCTCCCTCTTCCCCCCTTTCCTCTTCTCCACCTGTTCCCCCTTCTGAAGCTGCCTTCCGAAGCTTCCTCAGGGCCTCCTGCCTGGACCCTGCCCCCTCTTTCCCTCCCCGCTAGGTGGTCTGAGCCCTCAGCCTCTTCCCATGGACAGGGCTATGAGGCCTCTGGGTACAGCCTTGCCTCTCCCTGCGCAGGGAGGGCGGGCTGTGTGTCCTTCCCCACTGTCCTGGCTGCTGTACCACTGAGGGCCAAGAGGGACCCAGGGGGCTGGAGGGGGGAGCTGCAAGGCTGGGCTGGGCTGTGCCCCCTGTGTGTGTGGGTCAGTGGGGAGCACAGAGAAGACCTTGAGTATTGGGGGGGCATGTTCGAGTGTGCCCCCTTCTTAGTCCCTCTGCACCCAGGGGGGTGTCACTGGGCACACGGCTCTGTCAGTGCCCAGCAGCCTGCACTGAGGCACTTTGGGTGACAGAGGCCAGACTTTGGGGCTGGGACACTCAGCCCCGTGGCCATCCTCTGGGGTCTGGGCTTAGATGCATGTGCACCCCGATGAAGGCCGGGGTGGGACTACCTGCTCCACTAGCAGGGACCACTAGCTCCCAAAGCAGAGGTCACTATGAGCCTTCCTACAGGGTTGGCCAAGGGGCCCCCAGACCCAGGCGTGGTGACCAGCACTCTGTCTGCCTGGGATCCTGGTCCCAGGACACACCCAAGCTCTGGGCCTGTGCTGGTGGCTCGGGGTCTGGGTCTCCAAGGCTCCAGGGAGTCGAGCTGGGGCCAGCCGCAGAGGCCCCGCTCAGAGGCCCCCATGCACCTTTCTCTCAGGTCTCACCTTCCACACTCAGGAGAGACCCCTGCAAACCACACACTGCCCACCTGGTCCAGAAGCAGTGGCAGGACGCAGCCACGCCCAGTGCCGGCTGGAGGACCCAGGCGGCCACAGCCAGGGCCCAGGTCTTCCTGAGTCCCCGGGGGCTGAGCCCTCACTGGAGCGGGTGGGAAGAGGCTGCGGGCAGCCCTGGGCTCCTGGCCTGGCCCCCACCCCCTCCCTGCTCCCTCTGTCTGGTCCCTGAGCCAGACCCTCCACCTGCTCTTCTTTCCCAGACCTCAGTGGGGCTAGGGAGGGGCGGGGGGCACCAGGGAGCCATGTGTGCAGGCCGCCTCCCCTGGGGGCGGGTCGTAGATGCTGCATTTGGGCATGGGGCCCTGGCAGTAGACGTTGAGGTAGCCGCGGTACTCCTCCCTGTACGTCTGGTCCCTGATGCACTGGACCACGTTCTTGTCACACTCGCACGTCTGCTTGTCACACTGTGTCTTGTTGAGCTCACCTGTGGGGGGTGGGGGGCAGCAAAGGCCTGTGGGTGAAAGGGCCACTGCAGGGGAGAGAGGGGGAAGCCCACACACTCTGGGAGCCCAGTGGTCCTCGGAATGTAGTCCCAGGGCCATCAGCACCAGCACCACCCACGGGTCCCAGCCTGGGCCCATGGGGTCAGCAGCTCTGGGGGCGCCCAGCCAGTCTGTGCTATACCAAGCCCTCTAGCGCATGCTAAAATTCGGGAACCACTGGTCCAACATGGTCATTGTATAGGTGGGGAAACTGAGGCCCAGAAAGCAGGGTGGGTTTACCAAAGTCACCCAGAGAGCTGAAGGCCCACCTTCGGGCCAGTTACTTTTTACTGTGTCAGACCTCCTCCCTTCAATCACAGAATCAAAGAACACCCACCCCAGAGGGAGTTATTCTTAAGGACTCAGTAGGAAAAACATTCTCGAAGAGCTTAACTCAGCGCCTGAGAGCCGAGCAAACGCTTACTTGTGGCGCCGTGGGGCCGTGGTGCCGCTGCTGTTTGTTGCTACCGCTGTTATTATTAGCGTCAGACACCATCCTCAGGTGTGCATTAGAATCAGCGGGAGGGCTTGTTCAAAGACCCTGGACCTCACCCCTAAGCTTCAGATTCAGTAGGCCTGGGTGGGGCCGACACTGCAATTCCAGCCGGGTCCTGGGTGCTGCCGCCGCCTTGCTGGTTCAGGGAACACCCTCTGAGAACCTCCCACTAGCCCGATCGGTTCGCAAACTTTCCATCAGCACAATCCTTTCTCTTGAATGAAACTCTTTGCAGAGGGCTGATATATCAAACAGCCCAAAGAGGAGCTGCTTAATTATAAAACACATTAAAGAGCCAGCCCGATCACCGCGGGACTGTGCCTCCGCCACCTCTTAGGTGAACCTGGTGCCCCAGGAGTCCCCAGCACCCAGTGCGAAACCACCGCTTTAGGTTAGTCCATTGCCCTTGGTGGGTGGGGAGAGGATTTCTCTCTTCAACCTGTTTTGTTTTTTTTTTTGAGACAGGGTCTCATTCTGTCACCCAGGATGGAGGGCAGTGGTGTGATCACACCTCACTGCAGCCTCCAGCTCCTGGGCTCAAGTGATCCTCCAACCTCAGCCTCCGGAGTAGCTGGGACCCCAGGCATGGGCCACCACTGGCTAAAGCTGGTAAAAGCTAGATTCCTGAGCTTCAAACTGCTTTAATGGGGAGACATCCTCTCTCTCAAGACAGCCCCTTCCTCCCCATCTTTGAACAGCAGAATAGGAGGACCACAGAGCTCTGGGGACCCAAGGGTTCCACATGTCCCTGGTCCCCACCAGCCTCCTTCTCAGAGGACAGGAGACTTGAGTTTCTTTGCAAAGCCAGCATTTCTTTTGAGCTATCAGTAAGGAACAATGTGCAGATCCAGGTAAGACGTGGAGACAGAGAGCCCAGTGGGCTGCCCCTGGGGCTGGTGGGGTGGCTCCTATATGCCCCAGAGAGGGGCACAGGGGGTGAGGACAGGGACACCTGGGCCTGTTACTTGGATGTCCCTTGCCCACACTCCTCAGCTGGGGAGTGGCCATGGAGAGTTCGTGGGAAAGGAGGGAGCCCCGCCAGGCCTGGCACCAATATCTTAGATCCCTAGAAACACTGGGTGTCCTGGGATGGGGCCCCCCCTTCTGGTGGGGTGTCAGTGACAGAACTGGAAGGGAAAGGGTCTGCTCAGTGTCCCCATGAGTGAGGAGACTGAGGCCAGCTGGGAAAGGACCGTGCCCAGGGCCGCACAGCGCTGGGAGATGGTGACGGGACCTGGATTCGAACCCAGGTCTCCCGACTCCCAGGCCAGCTCTTCTCAAAGCCACCTTTGCAGAGCAGCAGTCTCAGAATCAGAATCATCTGGAAAACTGGCTAAAAACCAGATTCCTAGGCCCCACTCAAACCCACTGAATCAGAATCACTTCCTACCTAAGCTCTCCAAAGAACCACGGGGACAGGAGAACCAGGGTGCCAGTGCCAGGCTCGGGGGACCAGAGCACATCAGGGAGCCGCTCTGAGCCATGGCCAGGCTTGTCAGATTTAAATTTAGCAAGAGGCCAAAAACAAAACCAAAATACAGGCTGCCTGGGTAGATTTGGATTTCAGATAAACAATACATGTTTTAGTGTAAGTATGACCCAAATATTGCATGGGACATGTGGATACTAATTCATTATCTGCAAATATTAATTTTATACTAACATGTAATGTTTAGTATCCATATATCCCATGCAATATTTAGGACAGACTTATATTTAAACATTTTTCATTGCTTATTTGAAATTTGAATTTAACTAGGCAGCCTGTATTTTACCTGGCAGGCCTGCCCCCGGCCCCAGCACAGGCAGGTAGGGCTGGCAGTCACACCCTTCTCCCAGGGCCCAGGTGGCAGGAGAGACACTCACTGCAGACTATCTCGGTGTTATTCTCGATGGTGTAGTCGTAGTGGTCCACGTAGGGGGCACAGCCCTGATCAAAGAGCTTCTCGTAGCAGCAGTCATGGGCATGGCAGCACCTAGGGGTGGGCAGACGTGAGCAGGTAGGTGTGCCCAGGCTGGCCTGTCTCCCACCAGCAGAGACCTCTGATCATCTATTCCAGTCCCTCACAGGTCAGACCTGCAGACTGAAGCCCAGAGAGGGGCAGTTACTTGCCCGAGGTCACACAGCCAGGCACAGCTGGAGCTGGCTGGACTCTTGCCCGTGACCCTGCCTCTTTGTTCGACCCCCAGAGCTCCCGGCTTTCCCCTTGGAGCCCTGGACGCAGCTGCAGGAGGCGTCGGGTGATCCAGCAGTGGGGTTGGGGGAGGCAGGGCCTGGGTTTAAGGCAGTGCTGGAGGAGCACTGGCTGTTTGCAGACATCCCTGACTATGCCTGATGCCAGGGAGGGACAAAGGTCTGGAGAGTCAACAGGGACTGAGAGAAGGGGACAGGAAGCAAATGCAGTGCAGCTGTCCCCATTGCCTCTGGGGGAGTGAAGTCAGCTAGGCAACATGCATTTATTAAGCTCCCAGTGACACCAAGCTGCTGTTGGGGAGCTAAGAGTGGAAAACAAGCCAAGGCTTCTGGGAGCGCCAGTCTGATGGAGGAAGCGCAGCCTGAGGGGCTAAAATACTTCCAAGCCCAAGACCTTGGCGATGGACAACAGAAAGTGTCCAAGACATTTGGGGAGGACACGGTCAAAGATCAAGCTCCTGGTCATGAACTCATCAAACAAGCCCCACTTTTTGAAGAAAGAACCTCCCCCTTCTCAGAGATGGAGGTCAGTCTGGCCTTCAGCTGTCCCCACCTGGTCCCCGACAGGAGCCCAGGGCTCTGGCACCTACCAGTCCACCTCGTCCTTGGGCTGGCCCTGCCCCCCCAGCCCGCAGTAGCAGCCATAGCCCACGTAGGACAGGATGGCACTCCTCCCTGTGATGGCTTCCACCATGAACTTCAGGTTGAGCAGGCTGCCCTGGGCTGTGGACGGAACTGCAAGAGAACAAGGGAGGCTGTGAGCCCCTGCCCCATGGTGACCTGTCCTGTCCTGAGAGTCTGGACTCACTGTCCTCCTGATACCCCAGGGCCAGGGAAAGGGGGAGGGAAGGAGGAAGGGAGGAAGCAGAGAGAAGGAGGGCAGCGGGGACGGTGGGCAGCTGAGCAGGAGGAAAGAAATCCACAAAGGACCAAGTATGATCCGCTACCCACGTTCCTGTAGGAATCCCTGCAGCCCCGAGAAAATATATCGCTACGATTCGCCCAGGACTTGTCCTAAGCCCCCTCCATGCATTAACTCACTGCGTGCTCACTGAACCTACTGAGTGCTATTGTCATCCCACTTTACAGATGAGGAGACTGAGGCCTGCCCGAAGCACTTAGTAACTTGCCCAAGGTCATGTGGTCAGAAAGCAGTACAAACGGAATTTGCTGCCAGGCAGTGAAGGTTTTGCAGCCAGACCCTCTGCCACTTAGCTGTGAACACTTCTCAAGGGGCTGCCCGAGTGCCTGGGACACTGGAAGGGGCTTCGCAAATGCCGCATGCTGTTATAAACCACAGGGGTTTGATTCTGGGTCCTTCCTCTTCCTTCCTGGCCTCTGCCTGGCTCCTCTGCCCGCCTCGGGGACTCAGGGTCCCCACCGTGGTCCCGGGGCTGGTGCATCTCAGGGTTAATCCTGAGACAACTCGGTGCTCTGATCACTTAATGAAGATACAGCCAAGGCTTCCTATTTCAGGCTGATAGTGCTGGGGGTTGGAAGAGGGACACAGGCGCAGCGGAAGCAATAGTGCAAGGATACTTCCTGAACCAGCAAAATCAGCTTCACAGCACCTGCCAGGCCCCCAGGACCTATTCTCCCCTCTCCACAGCTTCCCTCCCTCTTTCCGCCTCTGCACGTCCTCCTGGGCTCAGCGCTGAGTCCATGCACCGAGCATGGCACCCATGGTCCCTACCTGGGTGAAGGTGCCGCACACAGCAGGAGAGCCGATCTAGCCCCATTTTGTGGTTGAGGAAACTAGGGCTCGGAAAGATGGGGGCTTGCCCAGGTCGTGCAGAGCCCCGCATGGCCCGGTCCGTGTGCCCCTGAGCTGGGCTGCTAACCACACAGCGCAGCCCCCTGCCTCCTCCACGCTGGGCCGCTCCGGCTGTGCCCGGGGTTAGGTGCCCAGGTCAGCACCTGCCCCCTGCTCTCTCCTTGCCCCCACCCTGCTCCACGGCCAGAATGAGGAAATGCACAGGGAGAAGGAAGAAGCCAAGGGTTTCAGAAACCGGGGGGTTAACAGAATCCCAAAGGCCACTGTCGCTCGCGTCTGGAGACACAGTGTCCACGTCCCTAGCGATGGGGAACCGCCTCCTCAACGTGCCTGGCTGGGAAGGTCACAGACTGTGGAGTCAGACAGGCCTGGGCCGATAACTGCAGCCCCCGGGGGTCTCCAGGGCTGTTTTCTCACCCGCACGATGGGAGGGACCATCCTGACCCTGAGGGCTCAGGCAGCCCAGTGCCCAGCTCGGGGCCTGGTACACACCAGTGACCTCTTTGACCTCAGTTCCCAAATCTGAGGAGGGGGGTGACAATCCCCTTGCAGGGCCCTTTGGAGGATTAAGTGTGATCACAAACGTGTGCAGAGCGCATGGCCCAGCCGCTGTGAGGCCCTGGCCTCCCCCTCCCCAGGCTGAGAGCCCCCTCCCCCATTAGCGGTGTGGATGTTACCCTGGGGTGGCGGCTCCAGGCCCCAGGACCCTCTGACCGCCAGCTCCCGCGTGGCAAGAGAAGCAGCGTGGGGAACTTACCGCCACACACAGGGCGGACACACGAACACTCACCCACCTCACACTCTCCTCTGCACACTGCACACGCTCGCACACGCTCGCACTCACCCACCGCAGACACACCCACATACACGACGGCATCGGGGGAGAGTCGGGGGCTGGACCCGAGGCCACGTCCACACCCGCACTCGAGCAGAAGAAACGAGTCCACGCCCAGTCCGGCAAAGGCTCTGTCCCTAACCAGGGCTCGGGCAGGACTCCAGCGGCAGTTTTCTAAATCACAGGTCGCGTGGCCTGAAAGCAGCCAACCCTTCCGCGAGTCGGCCACACGGAACCTTATTTTTGTTCCCAGCGTTTGTTTCTTTTCCCCAGACCCCGCTGTGTTTCGGCGAGGTTTAGCAGGCCGCGTGGACACCCGCCGACGTTCTGGCTACCGGGGCGCCGGCCACACGCACCCCTGGCTGCGTGGCGGGGTCGGATTTGCACCAGGAGCCGTGATGCCCTGACTGCCACCCGGGAAAGACGTCCCCGACCTCCCCACCACTGTCTCCTGCGCACACAGACACCCGCCCTCCGTACACGCCCACGTGCGGATCCACGCACCCCACGTTCGTGTGCGCGCTCCGGAGACACGCGCCACGGCGAACACGCTCTCGCAAAGAGACGCGGCAGGCCCCCACCGGGTGCCAGCACCGACACGTCTTGCCGACCTGTGTCGCACACGCAGGCATCTCCATATGCTCGGACACCGCACACGCATGCATCCCTGCGTCTGCCCGCACACAGACTCGTTAACTCCCGTCTACACACGCACACTAACACGCATTCTTATGTACACCACGCCCCGCGAGCACCTCCGCTTTACGACTCTGGCTCAGCTCCGCGCCCTGCCCCTCGAGCCTCGTAAACACCATGTTTACAGGTACACGCCGTGTTTACAGGTGGCTGGAGGGGTAAACAGCCCCAGAAGAGAGGATGGAGGCTGCGGGGCAGTAGAATAATAACTCAGGTGCCCGAGGTCGGGGGAGACAGGCTGGGGGAGCAGAGATGGGGCCTTTACTCACCGCTGCCGGCCAGGAGGGCGACGGTGAGGAGCTTCACACCCAGGCTAGACCTGAGGGAGGAAGAACCCGGAGCTGGAGTCGGTCCCCTCCACCTTCCTGCTGCTTCCTACGGGGGCCACCTGCACTGTCCCTCGATGCCCCAGTAGCCACCCCCAGCCCCGTGATTGGCACCTCCCCACCCACCCTGCCCCTCCTGGGGGAACACAGCCCAGATGGCAGAGCTGGGGGGCACCAGAGCCTCCCCCCTCACACCCCGAGCAAATACCCTCCACGCATCAGCTTCCGTGGCAGCAAGCCCACCGTCTGAGCCCAGACCCCCACCTTCCATCTGCACGCCAGGGAGTCCTGGGACGAGGAGTCATGCGCCTCACCCAGCGGCTGTGTCTTGAACCCAGAGCCAAGAGATTTGGGTCCCAAAATTCTAGTCCTCGCTCTGTTTCCAAAATGTTGTGTGACCTTGGACAGAGCCCTCAGCCTCTCTGGGCCTCAAGTGCCCCAGCAGGGTTGACTAAAGGATCCGAGATGCCCCTCCAGCGCTGAAAATGCAGAGACCTATCTCAGCCCATCACTCAGAGACTCAGAGCTCTCCTTTCTGGGAAATGGGTTCCAGGAGCCAGTGCCTCACCCCCACCCTGTGCCCTCCACAGAGGAGTCCACTCCCAGGCAGCAGGCACCTACCTGGAGGTTCTCAAAGGACAAGCGGCCCCAAGGCTTGGGCCCCTCCACCCAGAGGGGCATCTAGCCAGCACCTTCTTGCTGAACCCTTTGGGGTTGGCCTGCGCCCCATCTGCCATGTTCCGGGTTCCAGGGGGCCCGCAGCATTGGTCTTGAAAGGTCTGCGATGCCCTCCAAAGGCCCTGGGGAGCAGGCCCCAGCTTGACGCTGCCTCACACACTGGCAGGGCAGTGCCGGAGCAGTGCCCCTGGGCAGGAGGCAGGTGACACATGCCCTAGAAAAAGAGGCCCCAACTCCTCCCTCCCACCCCCACAGCCCTACCCACAGCTGGCTGGTAAAGTCCCCACCCCCAGCGTACTCTGGCCTACCTGGCTGGGGGTTTATGCACCTGTCTATTCCACGCATCTTAAAGGAAATTAGCCCACAGGCCTCTCCATCCCCACCCCACGCCCAGCCCTGCCCCAAAGACATTAAAAACATTCAGTGAGGCTTGTTGAAGCTCATTAAAGCAGACTATTCAAGGGGGCCACTGCAGTGGGGCCTGCAGGGGAAAGAGATCAACTCAGTTCCCAAGTACAACAAGGGAAAGCAGGAGTTCACAGCCAAGGAGCAGGGGGAGGGGTCTTCGGAGGGAAAGTTGAGAAGAAACATCAGGGGTGAGGAGGATTCCAGCTAAATTGGCCCAGCAGCACTCTTGCTGAAGGCAGCAGGGCGACCAGACACCACCTGGGGGAGGTGGAGGCTGAAGGACTCATCAGAGATGAAGCATGGGGGAGATTCTAGCAAAACCCACTGAGCAGGGATCTGGCTAAAATCGGACAACAGCAAGATAGTACAGAGTCCAGATGTCGAGGCCTAGTTGGAAAGGGAGTTCCTGGGAGCCTGAGTAGAGTTTGGTCAAGGAGAGACCCTTTCTCAGGGAGGCCCCTGGGTTAGGACAAGCTCAGGTCTCTATGGCATCCTGCCACAGCTGGAAAGGCTTGAGGCCCGAATCTGGAGAGAGCTCTCTGCCCACATCTGGAAAGGGCCTCTGCTAGTCTGGAAGCATGTTGGTGCCCACATCTGTCAGGCCACCCCGGCTGAGACTGAGGGGCACACGGCACATGCGTCTGCAGGAAGCCCCCGACCCACATGTGGAAGGACAAGCCTGATGGGTGTGGGGCTGGCCGGTGCCCCCCCACCCCAGACTGCAGAGCCGCATCCCTGGCCACTGGTGGCTGCCCTCCTCCTCTTGCCCCAGTTGTGATGACCAAAAATGTCTCCGAACACTGCCAAATTTGCTCTGGAGGGGCACAATTGTCTCTGGTTGAAAGCCTGGGGGGGTGGCTGGAGTCAGCTCCGTTTGCCTGTTTTTCGGGGGTGGGATGCACCTGGGAAAGATGAAGCCAGAGAAAAGCCGAGCGGGCTTGAGCTCGGGGAGTCGCACTAATAGAGGCCCCAACGTCAGCACCCCCACTTCTCAGCTGACCTCGGCAGGAGAGCCCCTACCCTGGTCTGTGTCCCCAGCTGCAGAAAGTACGTGACAAGGCCTCACTGATTAAGGACGGTGTCTGCAGACGGCAGGTGTCACACCGTGTGGGACTCCACTCAGATGCTGGGTCGAAGGTTGGTTGCTACAAAGCAGAGGCCTGATCTCCAGCCTGGGGTGAGTTGAGATGGTGGTGGGGGGACAAAGCAGGGGGAAGAGGAGAGTATCCTGGAACGTGCCACTCCAGATAATCCCCTCGCCATCACATCCTCTCCAGTGTCCCAAACCTGCTGACGAGGGGCCCCACCACCCACCCTTAGCGTTGCCAATTTCCTCTTCTGTCTGTACCCTGCACCCAATCACGCATCCTTACACAGGAAGTTGTTAATTTGCGCTTGCTCATGCATTCCTTTGTGGATACTTGTACGTGTTTTGGTTTGTGGATCTTGACACTGCACTTGAGCTGGGGTGCCTGGAGAAAAGGGGCATTTATTTCCTCCCAAAGTCCAGGGGATCCCCCTGGAGACAAGCCTGCATCTGCCTTATCCGATTAGAGTGGCTGGAGGACATGGAAGTCTCTGCCTTCACTTGTCTACACAAGCTTGGCTTCTATCTTTGCTTCGGCTTTTGCCTATGCCTCTTAATGACATCACCACACTCCAGAGGAGGAAGAACCCAGAAGTCAGGCTGAATACAGTCCACATCCTGAAGATGCAGCCTCCAACCTGCAGGTAACTTGGAGCCACATACACCTGTGTCAAAGGGGGCCAAGGCTGGGGCCAGGGACCCCTGAGAGCCTCTGAACAGCACTGCTGCCACGTTCTTATCTGGCATTCCCACTGGACACGCTGGTTGGGCTGGCCTTCAGAGAGGCTAAATCCTTGAGGGGGAGGATGGGCTCTTCTCTCTCCCTCCCCCGCCCTCCCCCTACCAAGCACAGGGTGCTCAATAAGGAGTTGATAATAAACTGGTTGATCCAGTAATTCCACTTCTGGTCTGTGAACAAGATGCAAACCTGAATGGCTCCTGGAGACAGATGACAAAGGACACGGATAGGAGTGTTTTTATGATGCCCCCCCAAAATCAGAAGCAACTTAAATTAGGGGATTAGTTAAGCAAATTATTAAGCATCCATCCACAATCATGTTTTCAAAGAATATTTGATGATAGAAAAAAAAACAAACCCTGTAATACAGGGTAATAGCACTTTTTTAAGGGAGTTGCTGTGCACATGTATAAAAATGGTCTGGAAGGATATACCGCAAGACATTAGTAATGATCATCTTTAGACAGTAGAATAGCTGGTGGTTTTTATTTTCTTATTTATAATTTTTGGTATGAAAATGAATGTAAAAATACATTCAACAACTAAGATAAAATGGGCAATTTCCTTGAAAGACACAAACTCACTCAACTGAAATAGCTCTATATCTATTAAAGAAACCAAAAATTGTAATTTAAAATCTTGCCATAGATAAAATTAGGTCCAGATGGCTTCACTGGTGAATTTGACCAAATACTTAAGGAAGAAATAATACCGATTATTAATATATTGGTTTGGTAGGGCTACCATACCACGAATGGGGTAGCATAAACAACAGAAATTAATTTTCTCACAGGTCTGGAGGGTAGAAGTCCAAGATCAAGATGTGAGCAAGGTTGGTTTCATTCTGAGGCCTTTCTCCTTGGCTGCCTTCTCACTGTGTCCTCATGTGGTCTTTCCTCTGTGTATACACATCCCTCGTCTCCCTTTGTGTGTCCAAATTTCCTCATCTTATAAGGACACCAGGATATTGGATTAGGACCTACCCTCATTTAAACTTAGTCACCTTTTTAAAGGCCAAGCTCCAAATACAATCATATTCTGAAGTTCTGGGGGTTAGGGCTTCAACTTACGAATTTATAGGGAACATGATCGAACCCAGAACACCAATTGTACACAAATTCTTCCCAAAAACTTAAGGGGCCGATTCATTGTATCAAGCTACCATTATGCTGACACCAAAACCACAAAAAGACAAGAAAAGAAAACTACAGACTGCTATCCCTCATCAACATAGATACAAAAATTCTTTTAAAAATGTTGGCAAACAGGCAAATGTTGGTAAGCAGGATAATATGTCATCACCGTTCTTGGGATTTATCCCAAGAATGAATGATTGGTTTTACATTAAAAATCAGCCAGTGTAATATACCATATCGACAGACTAAAGAAGAAAAACCACATGCTCATCTCAATAAATAGAATAAAACAAAACAAAACACAACAAATACTATTTGACAAAATCCAATATCCATTCCTGATTTTTAAAACACTGTCAGCAAACTGAAATAGAATGGACCTTTCTCAACTGGAAAAAAGGCATCTACATGAACTTACAGCTAACACCATGCTTAATGGGGAAAGATTGAATGTTTTTCTCCCTAAGATTAGGAAGAATGTCCACTCTCACCACTTCTATTCAACATTCTACTGATGGTTTTAGTTGGTGCCATAGGCAAGAAAAGAAATAAAAGACATTCAGATTAGAAAGGAAGAAGTAAGATTATCCTCTGTTGGCATAAACATAATAGACCACGTAAAAAAATCCTGTAGAATCTACAAAAAAGGCTACTGGACTAATAACCGAGTTTAGCAAGGTTGCAATGTATAAAATGAAAATATAAAATAATAATAATTGTACTTCTACATCCTAGCAATGAACAATTGGAAATTGAAATTAAAAATACATTTACAATAATATCTAAAAATATGAAATATTTAGGAATAAAATTGACAAAAATATGGAAGACTTACACACTGAAAACTATAAAACAATGCTCAGAGAAATCAAGGAAGACCAAAATACACCATACTTACGAATCAGAAGACTCAATATTGTTAAGATGTCAATTCTCCCCATTTGCTCTGTAGAGTCAATGTGCTCTTCATCAAAATCCTAACAGACTAAAGAATTGACAAGCTGACCCTAAAATTCATATGGAAATTAAAAGGAGCTAGAACAGCTAAGTCAACTATAAAAAGATGGATAAAGTTGTAGGACTTATACTACCTGATTTTAAGACTTATAAAGTTACTGTAATCAAGATAGTGTGGTTTTGGTATAAAGATAGACAAAGAGGTTAATGGAACAGAATAAGTGACCCAGAATTAGACCTGTACATGTATGGAAAATTTATTTTTGGCAAAGATGCAAAGGCAAGTCCACGGAAGAAGAATAGTTTTTTCAACAATGGTGCTAGGACAATTGGCTGTCATTATGAAGAGAGGAAGAGAGAGAGAGAGAGGGGGGCAGGCGAAGGAAGGAAGGGAGAGAGAAAAACAGAAAAAATAAAAAAGAATTTAAATCCATGTCTCTCACCTAGGATGCTAAGACAACTAAATAGGGAACGAATAGCCTTTTCAACAAATGTTGTTGAGATAACTGAATATCCATACGAAAAGGTTGAGATAACTGGATATCTATATGCAAAAAAATGACGTTGAATCCCTTCCTTACACCATATACAAAAGTAATTCAAAATGGATCAGAGATCTAAATGTAAACTATAAAACTCCTATAAGAAAACATACGAGTAATCTTTGTGATGTTGAGTTAGACAACAGTTTCTTAGACAATACATCAAAAGCACATGACAAAAAAAAGGTAA